TGAAACAATAAAAGATTATAAATCAAATACCTGAAGATTTATCGAGCCAAACTTTGATTAGGGATGTTAGGATTTCGAAGGAGAAAATGAAACTGAAACGATCAATGATTCCCTTTTTTTTTTTTTCTTTTTCTTTTTTTCTCCTCACTTATCGGGGTTTGGGGATGAAATATTTTTAGCGTCGGGTAGGCGTATTGGGCACCCAGTTGCGGTTAGCAGACGGTGTTAACATTTCAGCTGGAGATGTGTGGCTTAGATAGTTAGATAATAGGGTAAAGGAGGAAATACACTCTAATTCAATTACAATAATACTATACTTAAAAAGAAATTTTACAAACATTTCCATACAAAATGAGGTAGCAAAAAATGAATAAAAGAGTAAAACAAAAAGTCAAACTCATTAAATTCACTTTTCCATTTATTTTTTGCCACATCACTTTGTATGAAGATCTTTGTAAAATTTCTTTGCAAGTGTAGTATTATTCATTCATTTAACATCCATAATTTATAGAAATTTAATTTTAACATAAATACTATCTTTTACAATTTATATAAGAGTGATTTGTTTGAAGAATCCATAAAATGACTTAAAGAATATATATATATATAAGTAATGCTACATGTGCAAACAATTCTTACAAAGATTTATGTACAAACTGATGTGGCAGAAAATGAATAGAAAAGTGGGTACAAAAAATAAAACTCATCATGTTCACTATTCCATTCATTTTTTGCCATATTAGTTTGTACACAAATTTTTGTAAGAGTTGTTTGTACATTTAGCATTATTGTGTGTGTGTGTGTGTATACATATATATATATATATATATTATGAATAACAAATTCATTCAAGTACCAATTCATTGCCTATATATACATGATAAATTCTAGAATTTATTTATTTATATAATAATTCATTTGTTATTATAACAATACCACCTGTTGATATAGAAATCTGTACCAAAGAATTCCGATCGACTTTGATGGGATCAAAATGGATGTGCACATGATTACGGATAATGTTGGAAAAGTAACCCTCTTGGCTCACTGCGGGTTACTGGTTTTGGTGCGCTGGGTTAGGCCCGCCACTTGTTAGGGTTGGCTGGCCTAGCTTGGCCTGCCAACCCTAACCCGCCGAGTTAGGCTGCGGGCTAGGCCGGGTTGGGTTAGCCCCCTTTTTTGATTTTTTATTTTATTTTGTTTTGTTTAGTTAACTTTTCAAATGAATAAATGTAATTGTTTTTAGTTAACTTTTCAAATATCAATAATTCAATTAAATTAAAATTATTATTTTTTTGTTAACATTTCAAATATTAATTCAATTTTAATACAATAAAATTGTAATATAAAAAAAATTAGATTTATTCTTTATCAAAAAAAAAAAAAAAAAAAAGAAGCAATTACAACAATTATTGCCTGGTTAAAAACCTCACCCAGAAAAATCCAATGGGACAAAAACTTGGCAAAGAAAAAAGAGTGCAATAATTGACAATTAGTTTATAAGTTACAATTTACAAAACAACTAATTTGAGGGTTGAATAGGGCCTCCATCATCCGTATCATCTACATTACAAAATTGAAATGATTCTATTAAAGTATCGTCGACAACCTCGTATTGATCTTGATGGCGCTACCGTTCCCAATCTCGAAGACATATGAGGACTTCAATCATTTTTTGTGGAAGTTTAGTCCTCTTCTCATTTAAAATTCTTCCACTTGCACTAAATGTTTGTTCGGATGAGATGGTTGAGACAAGAATAGCGAAAACATCCAAGGCAAGTCTTGATAATACCGGAAAAATACATTTTCTAGTTTTCTAATATTCTAAGACATCAAAGTTGACTATTTGTTGTGGATCTGCTGGTAACATTTCGGGGGTTCCCAAATATTGTTAAAGCTCATTACTCTGTGACTACATTGAGGACAATATATTAGTTGTTGTTGTTGGGGCTTCTGAAGAGAAGGTTGTGCTTCGAATTCGGGTTTTCTTCGGCCTATTAAGTGCACTCTAGGAGTAAAAGTCTTCATTTGTTTCTTCTGATGCAATTTCCCTGGGTATTTCGCCTCTTTACGGGTTCCCATACCTGTTTTCATATTGGAAATATACATCTGCAAGACAATCTCTGACCTCTCCTAGTTGATTGGCATATGTTTTGTTTTGTAAATTTTCAGTTCATGTGTCTAAACCATTTTCTAAATCTGCTAGTTTAATTCTAAGATCAAATATAACACCTAAACAATAAAGAAAATGAATGAGTTTCCAATATTTAAAAAAAAAAAATTGTCATTGCCTTTATTGGTCCCCCTAAAATTTCATTGTTTTTGTTTTTTTGTAAATAACTCTAAAATTTTTATAATTGTATGTATTACTAATGGACTAGTAGGATAATACACACCAGAAAGTTGTAAAGTGGATTGGTAAAAATTTTTAAGAAAAGAATGAAATATTTTAGCTATATACCAATCATTTTCTATCAAATAATGAGGATCTCTATTATTTCTTACAAAATAACTAATTAAATTTACATAAGGTAAACATGAATCAAGCATTAAATAAGTATTATTCCATATAAAAGGCATGTCTAATGCAAAAGTTATAGGAGACATATTTGATTTTATACAAGCATCTTGAAATTCAGCATTTCTTTTATTACTACTAGTAATCAAAGCTAAAGATTCTCTAATTCTATCAATATTATCTCTAATTGTTTTCATACTACTTTTCACAATTAAATTAATAATGTGACATATACAATATTGGTGAAAAAACTTCAAATTGTTATAAAACAGATAATTAATTTTAAAAAAATCTATAGCTGTACTATTAGCACTTGCATTATCTAGAGTTAAACTTATCACTTTATTAATAACATCATAATCTTCTAAAACTTCAACAATTTTATATAAATTTGTTGACCACTATGATCCACATCCATTAATCTAAATCCTAATAAAGATTTATTTAATTTACATTCGTTATCAAAATAATGACTAGTCACACAAATATAATCTTGTTTAGCTCTACCACTCCAAATAACGGCAGTTAGAGCCACACTAACATGACAACTATGTATGTTATTTTTTAATTCTAATTTCATTTTCCAAAACAATTTTATTAAATCATTTCTAGTTTCAGTTTTAGAATAACTTTTAAATCTTGGAAAAATGAATTTTTTATAAATCTTTCAAAATATTTATCTTCAGCTATATTAATAGGTTGATCAGTTGCAACAATATATAAAGCTAATTGTTCTCTATATACATTAGAATTATAACGCCAAGTAGTACTCATATTAGTTATTTGAGTTTGATTGGTTTCTCTATTTCCATGAGCAATATGTTTATTAGCATGCCTTTTTAAAGTATTAGTATCATTACCTAAATCAGCTTTATAAACATTTCCACAATATTTGCATCTTGCTTTCTTCACCGGAACTCTATCTTCTGTCTCGTAAAACTTATCAAAATGCGCCCAAACGTATGATGTGTGTCTGTTGTCGCTTTCGATAGCAGTTGATGAACCCGCTTCAGCTTGAGATGAAGTTGGACGAGGATGACGATTACGAGGATGACCTCTAGAACCACCGGGAGCTATAGCAGCATGGGGAGGAATTGGGGGAATATTATGAGGTGTATCAGATTCTGAGACTGAGAAAGAGAGACTATTTGAATCTACTGCATTTATGTTAGTAAATTCAGAAGGACTAGGATAGTAGTTTCCTTCATCATCGGAATTGACGGGATGAAAATATATATCCATTGTAGTTAAAAAAAAAAAAAAATTTGATATAGAAGAAATACAAAAATTAAAGAAGGAGAATTTGAATTTGGAAATATGAATTGAAAATTGCAAAAACTAATAAAAATGAAAATGAGAGCAAATTGACAAACAAAGAGAATAATTGAGAGATTTCAATAGAGATTAAAGAAAATGAGAGAATTTGAGATGTGAGAAAATATGAAAGTTTAGGGCCCATTTATAGAAAAAACTGGGAAACAAAAATGACCCCTCCAACTGCTATAAAACGGCTATATTTTAAGGGTAAAATGGGTTTTTGAAAAAAAAAAATTAATTTTTTATTTTTATTTTTTTTCGGCTTTGTTCTTTAAGAAAAAACAAAACAACAACTTGCCGGGTCGCCGGGTTGCCATATAACAACCCGGCTTGCTCGGGGGTTGCATGCGGGTTGGGTTCAACCTGACCCGCCTATAAGGCGGTCTGGGTTGAACCCTCTTTAATGCGGGCCAGGTTAGGGTTGACCTGCCTAACCCAGCCCATTTGTTCCACCTTTAATTACGGATAATCAGCGAAAGACAAGTATTGAATGTAATAAAGTAAATGACAATGAAAATTTTTAAAGTAGTTTGGCGAGGTAAACTCTTGAGCCTACGTCCACTGTGTTTTGTTTTTGCTGTAAGAGTTACAATGAGAATTCTGTGGGAATGTCGTCACCCCTTTTTCGTCATTTGAGGAGGTTTATATACAAGGTTTGTACAAGGGAAAGAGCGAAAATAAAAGGATTACAATTGATCTGAATTGCAATTTCGATATTGTCACGATTTGGCGTTGTGATCGCGCAAAGATTGCTGTTGATCCAGTCATTCCTACAATATCTGAGATCTGAGGTTATCTGAGAATTGATTGAATAATTATTCGAGTTGTTTGCAACTAGCTTGTGCTAGGTCGAGCTATATGTTGACGAGCTTATGCTGGGTCGGACAACCGGTGGAGTCATATTGATTCTAAGTCGAGCTATATCCCCGCGATAGCCCAAGCTTAGTGGAAAAATCATACACAACACCACCTTTAGTTAAATTATTATTCATTATTTTTTTTCAGTAATTTAAGTCCATATACTGTATATTTTGAATTTTATATCAATTATCTTTCTATGTCTTCAAATATTTATAATTATACATTTTATTATATGTTTAAAATCTAAATCAATGAGATAGTTAATTAATTGTAAAAGAACTATATATTGGATATAAAATAAATATTTCATTGTAAAAATATAAATTTATAATCTAAATCATAGGATATTTTAATAAATATTGTAAATAGTGAATCTCCACCACTAATCTAGTGGCGAAGATAATGAGTAATACTAGATCTACAACCCAATCTTACAACATTTGACATGACAGTTTGTCATTGGTTAGCTTGCAAAATAGGTCCCACCTACTTGTATGGGTTCGTCTGTCCATTTACGAACTAACCAATGATGAGCTAGCGTGTCGAAGATTATGAGAGAAGATTGTAAGATTGGATTGTGACCTAACATCACTCGTCTTCTAACCATAAAAAGTTTTGAGAAACTAAGCAATATCAATCACATCTCTTAATTTTCTCACTTTGGTCCTTGTTATTTACTTTATTTAGTTCTCATTTCCATATCACTACTAAAATTATAACAATAAACTGAATTATACATTAACATTAATTTGGTACCTTTGATCCTATGTTCTCCATAACATCATCAATGAAGCAACCCAATGAAGAGAACGAAGATCCACCCTCCATCAAAGCCTTTCTACTCTTTTCACTCATCTCCACCATCCTTTTCTTTATCTCACCATCACCTTTCATTAATTTCTTTATTCCTTTCTCTATGTCTTCTGCACTCACTATTGTTAGACTATTCCCAGAAATCTCCTTTATATAGTCCATTTTAATCTCAACCGCTAATCTCAACTCAATCACCATCTTAAAAGCGTTGAATTGTTGATCAGCATACATAGGCCACGTCGCATTTGGAACACCAAACCATATGCTCTCAAACACTGAATTCCACCCGCAATGTGATACGAACCCTCCGATCGCCTCGTGGGCCAAGATCGACACTTGTGGAGCCCATCCAATCACCTTCCCAATCTTAGCCGTTCGATCGAGAAATCCTTCTGGTATCACGTCCTTCAATTTTGTGTAATCACTAGGGTAACCAATATGACCCTTCGATGGAGGTTGACGTAAAGACCACAAGAATCCATGCCCACTGTGCTCTAGCGCAGAAGCTATCTCTTTCACCTGATCTTCATCAAAGCTTCCCGTGCTCCCGAAGCATAGAAACACAACTGAAGACCGCGGTTGATCATCAAGCCATTCCATGATCTCTGATTTTGTAATCGACCCACCTGATCCTTGTTCATTGCCATCATCTTTGAGATTCAAAACGGGTCCGACAGTATATACAGGTGGGACGTTGATCATCTTACCTTCAGAGAAAGACTTGACCGCATACGATTCCAGCTCCATGAATGTATTCACAATAATACCCTTCACTCCTCTAAGCCTCCTCGCTTGTTCAAAGAAAGCAGTAGACCAATCTTTATCTAACAACACGGCCGGCAAAACTCTGACTGGAACTGAGTTAACAAGACCCGGTACTTCCAAATCAGTTTCCGAGTCATTCAAGTCAGTGAGTAGCTTCTTCTGTTCATCAAAAAGAGCTTGCGCGTAAAATTTCAAGCCCAGAAAAGCGGCACTCGAGGTGTAGAAAACATAGCTAGGAACTCCAAAATCATTCGCAACCTCGATCATGCTCGTGCAGAACATGTCGAGAACGAACGCGGCGAGTCGAGGTGAGTCATCGGAGGCTGACTCGGCATGAACAAGCTTAGCGACGGCTTCTCTGACGTTGGGTTTGTGGCTTTCGATGAACGAATTGAAGGAGCTAATCCGAGAAGATGATTTTGGAGGGGAAGGATCAACGTTTGGGAGGCGAATGATGTTGATGTCATTGTCAAGTGAGTGAAGGTAGGGATTGACTTTGTTGTCGACGGGTCGCTGCATGACGAGGACGGTGATGGAGAGGCAGTGGTCCCGGTGGAGGAGGAGCTTTGCCAGCTCCACCGTCGATCTCAGGTGGCCGACGCCCGGTGAAGGGATGAACACCAGCTCAGCTTTCTTCATCGTTTTTGACATTTTGTTATAAATGGTAAAGCCAATGAAAAATTGTCAATTATATAACAAACCAGATATTACGTGACGTGCTTTGGTTTGCCACCATTAATGGGGAGAACGTTACACATACCCAAGGTTTACCGAAACAACAAGTTAGTACCTAAAAAGTTTTGAAACGATAAATAGGTATCTTCCGTCATGTTTTCTATTAGTGATTTCCATTTGATAATAGTGAAAAGACTAGAATGCCCTTGAAAGTTTGATGTTTTAGTTTTTTATAAATTTAAAAATTTCTAAAAAACCTCCTAGGTTCACTAATTTAACTAAATACCCGAATATATAAAATTTTTGTAAAATAACAAAAACACCCCCATCACCCGCAGTGCCAGATTTCAGCCACCACCGCCAGAATCTGGCCAAAAAATTGTGTTACGACACAGACCCGTCGGATCTGTGTCGTAACGCACCGATCTGGCCTTTTTCGGCCAGATCCGTGGCTGATCTGGCCGGAAAAGGCCAGATCTACGGCCAGATCTGGCCGTCGACGCTACAGATGGAGTTTTGCAGCCTCGACGGTCAGATCTAGCAGTAGATCTGGCATTTTCCAGCCAGATCTGTGGCGGATCTGGTCGGAAAAGGCCAGATCGGCACGTTACGACATAGATCTGATGAGTCTGTGTCGTAATGCAATTTACTAGCCAGATTCTGGCGATGGTGGCCAGAATCTGGCATTGCAGGTGGTGGGAGTGTTTTTGTCATTTAAGAAACTTTTTATATATGGGGGTGTTTAATTAAATTAGCAAACTTAGGGGGTTTTTTAAAAATTTTTAAATTTATAAAAAACTAAAATTCAAACTTTTAAGGGCATTTTAGTCTTTTCACTATTAATAAACAGAAATCACTAACAGAACATGATGAAAGGTACCTATTTGTCGTTTCAAAACCTTTTGGGTATCAACTTATCATTACGGTAAACCTTGGATATGTGCAAGTCGTTCGACCCCATTAATGAATAAATTATAATATAGTACTAAAAAATCAAAATGGAGATAATAATTAATTATAAGTTAATCTAGATTAATTTATAATTAAGTGTATAAATTTCAAATTAATAAATGAGGTGCTGACTTGCACATGAGCGACATGACTATGAAATATGAATCGAAAAAGAAAAAAAAAAAAAAAAAAAAAAAAAAAAAAAAAAAAAAAAAAAAAAAAAAAAAAAAAACGTTTTCCCTATTCCAGTAGTAAGGTTTCTTTTTGTCAGAAAAGCTTTTAAATATTTAGTTAAATCAATGTAATATACATATGATTTTCATAATTCAATTATTAAAATGGCTTAAAACATGTACTATATATATAAAGCTGAATACTCATGTAACTCGATAGAATTGTTTTATTTTGATACATAAGATTTGTGGTTGTTATGTGGTTGAATTTTATTGGTGATATTGTAAAAGATATTAATTGCTGAATTGGTATTCCAGGTCCAAAGGTAAAATTGGTTTAGGGTTGCTATCTCTTGCCACATTGGATGTGTGGTTTAATGAGATATTCTTAACTCTAAGATTCATAAATACCTGTGCTGGTTGTTCTCCATAAATATCCATGCGGATTATTCATCATGTGGCATATTTTGGAAGATCTAGAATTACTCAATTTTGACACATTGGACAATCAAATTGCTTTGTCTTTACACACTGGATTGGTATTTATTGTATCGTCTATAATTAATAATAATAATAATAATAATAATACAAGTGTATTGCATTAACATTACAAAGATGTGAATTAATAACAAGTGTATTGGATTGCTATTATTTTTTGTATTGTATTAACATTGGAAAACTGTCTTCGTATTGAATTTGTATTTTTTATTGTTTTTCGATGGACTCATTCTGGAAGAAGTGATTCAGTCTGTGCAAAAGAAGTGATTCAATTGGCGCAAGAAAATAAATTAATATCATAGAATAATCTACAGTTGTTGAATTAAAGTATTAAACCCAGAAATGATTTCCAATAAAATTAAACAGTAAAATTAACTTATTCTCAAAATATTATTTTATATTATTTAATTTCTTTTAAACCTCCATAAATTTATTAATTTAACTAAATACCCCAAAATATTTTTTTTTGAAATTGCAAAAACACCTCAGCAACCTACATTTACCAGATTCTGGCCACAACTATCGGAAGTTGGCCGGAATCTGGTAAATGTGGGTTGCTGGGGTATTTTTACAATTTCTAAAAAAAATATTTTGGGCCACCACTGCCAGAAGTTGGCTGGAATCTAGTATAATGGTACACTACCGACTGAATCTGGCTGGTAATGCGTTGACCTAACTTTCTTTGGCCATATCAAAAAGGCCAGATCTACTGCCAAAGATCTAGTCGTCAACGATGGTCAAGATATACGATGACTCCGACCACCCTCCAGCGGTGGTGGCCAGCTGTCCGTATTTAATAGGTGGGTTGGGGGTGTTTTTGTTAACTTTAATATTTTATTATAAATGTGTTTAGTAAATAAACAAACATATGAGGTATTTTTTTTAATTTTCAAATCCTACATCGTAATACCCATCCAATTTAATTTTTTTTTTAAAATATTATTCTAAAAACTATCAGAATAATGAACCAAATGGACCCTTAATATTTTGTTGATATTTGGTCTTTTTTAATTATTTTTTCACTAGAAGAAGCAACTTTATTGGGTGGAAAAAAAAAAAAAGTTATAGAATGACGGAATATTTTCTTGAGCCATCAAGAAATGATACCCCAAATATTATATTGATATATCGGAATAAATTATTTAAAGTAATTTATAATGTCAATTTAATATATCATATGCATAATGCACTAAGCGATTTTTGTATTCTTATTTCATCTAAGGGTATGTTTGGTATGACTTCTTCTAATAGAGCTCATAAAAGAAAAAGAAATTAATTAAGGAAGATTTCTTTCAGATGGGTTAAGTTCAAAATTTGAATTCCACAAGTTACTTCATCAAATCTTTTTAAGGGAATTTATTAAGACAACAAATAATCCAGCTCTTATTAAATGATTAATGAGATATTTCAAGTCTTATTAAATTTCATTTCTGCAATCAAGCGTCAATAAATTTATGTTATCTGTCTTCACCTGCCCTGTGACTTTACAATATGACGTCCTTAGTTAGAAATACAGTCTTAATTTGATGTGGATATAGTCAAGTAGGTAGACGTCCTATGAATAAAATAAAAAGTTCAGACACTGAAGTCCACAATTTTGTGCTTTATCTTACATAAATTAATGTAAATGTTTGTGTTTTGTCATAGGTGAGCTGTATTGTCCTACAATATAAATTTTAGCTCCATTTTAATGGATGATTAATGTAGAACCGGTCATTTCTACATTGAGCTTTGCATTGTACAATCTCTGTTTCTTCTCCAGAGATCTTGCCAAATAGACATTTTTGCATGGCTTCGTTATCATCTTCTTCCTCCATTATCCTCCAATCCAAATATGAAGTGTTCCTGAGTTTTAGAGGAGAGGATAATCGGGATAACTTTCCTAGTCATCTCTATGCTGCATTGTGTCAAAAACAAATTCAAACCTTCATTGATAATGAAGGACTTCAGATAGGAGATGATATTTCCCCTCCACTCACCAAAGCAATTAAAGAATCAAAGATTGCAGTAATCATTTTCTCAAAAAACTATGCATCTTCCAATTGGTGCTTGGATGAACTTGTAGAGATTATTGAGTATAAGAACATGAATGGCCAAATAGTTATACCAGTTTTTTATCATGTAAAGTGTACGGAATGAAACTCGAAGCTTTGAGGATGCTTTTGGAGAGCACGGACAAAACCTGAAGGTTATGCGAGCAAAAGTGCAAAGATGGAGGGCTGCTTTGACTGAAGCATCAAATCTATGTGGAATGGACTCAACGGTGATACAGTAAGTTTGCCTCTTCTGTATATGTAAAACTTTCTATAACTTTTACATAGTAAGGACCATGTGGTGCATGCCTTTCATTAGCTCTCCAAATATATGAAAATTTTACTTTCGTTATCTCACTAGCTTAAATATGATTAGGTTCATTTCTAATTTTCTGGTATCTCTAATCTATCATGGCATTTTTTTTAACTCAGCATTTTTCTTTTTCATATATGCTAGGCCGGAGTCTAAACTTGTAGCCGAGATTATCAAAGAAATTTTGAAGCAATTGAATGAGGTATCACCCTCAAGTGATTGTGAAGGCCTAGTTGGAATAGATTCACGCATTGATGATATGAAATCATTATTACATATTGAGTTGCCAGCTTTTAAAAACTATTGCCGGAGTAGTGTTTAATAAAATTTGTATTCAATTTGAAGGTTGTTTCATTGCAAATGTTAGGGAAGAATAAAAAATATGGGGATTGGTTCATGTGCGAAATCAAGCTCTTTCTCAAATATTAGAAGAAAGCCTGAAAACAGGCTCTCCCTAATATACCTGCATCTATTAAGAAAGGGCTAAAAAAAAAAAGGGGTTTTAATTGTAATTGATGATGTGAATGAAATTGGACAACTAGAATTTTTAATCGGAGGGCTTCCTCAATTTGGTCCAGGAAGTACATTATAACTACAAGAGATAAACAAGTGCTTTGTAGTTATAGAGTGAATCACAAATATGAAGTCAAGAGATTGGACGAGAATGAAGCTCTTCAACTCTTTTGCAATTATGCCTTTAAAACCAACCATCCAAATTTGGACCTTAAGGTGTTGTCAAGGAGGATAACTGATTATGCCAATGGCAATCCATTAGCTCTTAAAGTATTAGGTTCCTCCCTATATCAAAAGAGAAAACAAGAATGGGAAGGTGCATTTTGTGAATTAAAGAAAATTTCCAATCCCATTATTTATAATGTGTTGATAGTTAGGTACGATGGATTGATTTTGATTGTTAAAAATATTATTTAAGTAAGTGGACATATAGATAATATGTTAATTTTAATGATTTATTAATTTATTGGATAATTTTCTTGTGTTTCAGCTAGGGGTGTTCAAAAAAATACAAAAACCGAACCGAACCGATAACCGAACCGGAAAACCGGTTAACCGAAAAAACGGTTCGGTTACGGTTCGAAAAATTCAAAAAACCGAATTTTCGGTTCGGTTAACGGTTTGGAAAAAAATAAAAAGTGGTTAACCGAAACCGGTTTTTTGAACCGGTTTTACAAAATATATATATATATTAAATAAAAATAAATATTATATATTAAATAAAAAATAATAATATTATATATTATATATTAAATAAAAAATAAAAAATAATAATATTTTTAATGTATCGTTAGTAGTAGTCAATGGATATATATGAATGTCTAATTTTTATTTGGATATGTATTATTTATATTTACAATTTAATTTAAGAAAAAATAAAAAAAATAAGTTTTATAAAAAAAAGGGAAAACCGGTTCAAAACCGGTTAACCGCTTTAAAAAAAGCGGTTAACCGGTTTTTCGGTTAACCGGAAAACCGGTTTTCCCTCTAAACCGGTTCGGTTTCGGTTCGGGAATTTTCCCGAACCGAAAAACCGGTTCGGTTCAAAAAAGCGGTTAACCGGTTCGGTTAACCGCTTTTGAACACCCCTAGTTTCAGCACGGTTTTGGTTTCAAATTGTACAACATTTGCTGCATTTCTTCACCTATCCGTTATCTGGTCAACCTCCGTGACTTAAATCTGAAAGGCTGTAAGAGTACTCAAAGATTTCCAAGTGACATTCATTTTGTATCGCTTGTCACCCTTAGTCTATCCCACTGCATTTATCTCAAAGAATTTCCAAAAATTTCGGGGAATTTGAAATATTTACATTTAAACGGAACTGCAATAGACAAGGTTCCCTCATTCATTTCCCGTCTAACTAATCTAGTTAGTTTACATCTTGTTTAATTGAAGAATTGTATGTTTTCAATTCATTGATTTATCACTAAGGAGTTACACCTTTTATCCAGGGAGTATACGATCTCTTAAATCCCCTAATTATGTCAATTGTGGATTACACAATATTTTGTCTGACATAATTAGGAGATTACATAATCTTTAGAATATTCTAAGATCTTATACCTGACATAACTAAAAGATTACATAATATTTACCTGATTACAAAAGATTTACACAATATTATGAAAATCTTAACACTCCCCCTCAAGTTGGTACGTAAATGTCACACATGCCCAACTTGTCTAACACTTGTAAGAAAATACGTTTGGAGACAGCCTTGGTAAAAATATCAGCCAATTGATCATCTGATCAAATCTTGGATAGTTCAATAATCTTTTCATCCAGTTTTTCTTTGACTAAAAATTTATTTACTTCAACGTGCTTTATACGATCATATTGAACTGGATTGTGAGAAATATCACATACTACTTTATTGTCACAATATAACTGGATTGGTTGATTAGGTTGATAACCCAAATCTTGTGGTAAAAATCTTAGCTACAAAGCTTCACAAATCAAAAGTTCCATTCCCCTAAATTCTGCTTTAGCATTGAGCGCATAGCCCTAGTTAGTAAAAACGCGTATTATATGCGAATTGTATAGACAGCTGTATAATTCGTGTATAAAATGCACGTATACGTATTTTGTAAAATCTGTCATATAATTCGCGTATAATAAGGCTTCTAGTATAATTCGCGAATAGTTCGCGAATTATTGAAAAAAAAAAACAAAAACAAAATCTCACCCCCAAAACGACGTCGTTTTAGTGGGTTTTTACTAAAAATTAAAACATATCTCTCTTCTTCAGTTCTTCGCTTCTTCTTTCTCAGTTCGGTTCTTCTTCTTCCTCAATTCTTCACAAATTTCCACAAGCAATCAACTCCCACAATCAACACATAACAATCAAATCCAGCAAACAAGCTATCAACCCCTACAACCGACTCCAACAAACAAATTTCCATAAGACAGTTGCTCAGGCAACAGAGACGATTGCATAGTCACAAATCAAGCTACAGAGCGATGAGGCTGAGGACATCAGCGGACCCAATCATGTGAACCAATCACAAGCACAAAACACAAAACCCAAGAACGGTGTAAGGGGGAACAGATCTTGGCCACACGCAGTGGCCAACTGTGGTCAGTCATCGGTCGGCAAGAAATGCAGAGGGAGAATAGAAGAAAAAGAAGAAGAGGGGGAGAAGAGAAGGGAAGAGAAATAAAATAGACATAAGTTCATACAAAAGAGACGAAGGTTTAAAAAGGAAGTGAAAAGAAGGTGGAGAAAACAAAGAGAAAGAAGAGAAGAAACTTATAGAAGAAAGAGAGAAGAAAGTTTTGAAAAGAACGAGAAAACGAAAGAGAAGAGAAAGGAGGGAGAAAATTAAAAATTTAATAAAATATATAATTTTAACTTTTACATGGTACATTTATAATTTTTGTAAACTGACTACAGGGTGTATTTGTAAGTTTTGTAAACAATTGGTTTTGTCATGACTGTGTTTGATTTGACACTATAGTTGAATCTCGGCTAAATATTGTGTTTGAGTATGGAGACTATAATTTGAATATCAGTTATATTTATATAGTGTATTTGTGTTATTGGTTAATTGAATACTTTGCATTTGAAATGTTATATTAATTTTAACCAAGTAGTCCATAAAAGTGTTAAAACTAAGATTGATATTGCCGTATTTTTCAAAACGTATTATTAACAATGCACCGTATTAAACCCATATATACCCGTACCGTATTTTTTCCGTATCCAAATTTTATGGCCGAATTTTTATAAACGTATTTTTCACCGTTTTCCGTATTATACCCGTAAAATTCCAGTACCTTTTTTTTGCCGTACCCGTATTTACTAACTGGTGTCATATCATTCTGTTTCTTGCTTCTCCACGTGACTAGATTGCCTTCTACAAAAGTGAAATAACCAGAAGTAGATCATCTGTCATCCATTGCTCCAGCCCAATCAACATCAGTATATGCATGCATATTTTGGTAGTCCTTATTTTTAGAAAATAAGATTCTCTTTCTAGGAGTATGTTTTAAATATCTCAGGATACGCATAACTGCATTCATATGCTGCTCTCCAAGATTATGCATGAACTGACTGACTATACTCAATGCGTAAGCAAGATCTGGCCTAGTGTGAGACAAATACATTAATCTTCCCACAAGTCTCTGGTATCTCCTTTTGTCAACTGGTACTTGATCAGTCTCGACTCCTAATTTCAAGCCTACTTTGATTGGTGTATCAGCTAGTTGACATGCTAACATACCAGTTTCTTGTAGCACATCCAAGGCATACTTTCTTTGTGATAGAAAGAAACCTCTGTTAGATCGAGACACTTCAATTCTGAGAAAATATTTCAAAGAACCTAGGTCATTCATCTCTAATTCTTCTGATAAGTACTTTTGCAGAGCCTTCCTTTCTTCTGGATCATTTCCTGTAACCACCATATCATCCACATATACAATAAGTGCAATGATCTTTCCTTGCTGTTTTTTAAGGAATAGTGTGTGATCTGAATTGCTCTGATGGTAGCCAAAAAACTTCATAACTTTGGTGAACCTCCCAAACCATGCCCTCAGAGATTGTTTTAACCCATATAGTGACTTCTTTAACTTACATACATTTTGGCTATGTTTCACTGGTAAAATACTCCCTAGTAGAGGATCCATATAGATTTCTTCAGACAATTCTCCATGTAAAAAAGCATTCTTCACATCAAACTATTGTAATGGCCAATCCAAGTTTGCAGCCAAAGATAATAAGACACGTACCATGTTGATTTTAGCTACGGGTGCAAATGTCTCTGTATAGTCGATCCCATTGGTTTGAGTGTACCCTTTTGCTAGTAATCTTGCTTTGAATCTCTCAATTGTACCATTAGCTTTATACTTCACAGTGTAAACCCATCGACATCCAATAGTCTTTTTTCCAGGTGGACGATCAGCAATTTCCCAAGTCTCATTCTTTTGTAACGATTACATTTCCTCATTCATAGTAGCTTTCCATTTTGGATCAGATAAGCTTCCTACACACTGTTAAGAATAGATACAATAGATAATTGATTCACAAATGACATATTCGATTCTAAAAGACGATGGTTAGACACATAATGACTCAGGGGGTATTTGACTTTACTAGATAGCTCTGGTTCATATGTTGGTTTGGGAATCCCTGTAGTACTACGTGGTGGTAACTATTTCCTAATTGGTTCAGACTCTAAATCATGAACATTCTCAACAAATGATGGTTGTGACATACCAAGAATAAGAGACTCGGATTGAGAAGCTTCTACGGATGGGTTTGATACCACCTCCCCATTACCATCATCCACTTCATCTTCTTGTTAAACAATAGGTCTAGTTTGTGACTCATGGTCTCCCACATCTTGAACAGTATAGTTAAGAGTCTGAATTTGTTCTTGACAATACTCCCCCTAAAGTTCAGACTCAGAAGGAAAATACATCAACTCTTCATGGAAAACAACACCCATAGTTACAAACATTTGTTGAGTTGGAAGATGACAACATCGATACCATTTTGATGAACATCATACCCAACAAAAACACATGTCAATAAACAAGGGGACAACTTGTTGCGTTGATGTTTATGGAGGTGAACAAATGCGATACAGCCAAAAACATGAGGCGGTAAGTTCGGGACCATTGGAACATTCACTACTTTACCAAGAGCCTGAAAAGGTGTCTCGAACTGAAGAGAACTAGAGGGTACCCAATTGATTAGATAGGCTGCAAAAGTAAGTGCTTCTCCCAAAAAGGATAATGACATGTGAGCCTATATTAATGAGGCACGAGCGACCTCTAATAAGTGCTGATTTTCTCACTCAGCAACACCATTTTGTTGGGGTGTGTTGGGAGAAGTAGTCTGATGAATGATACCGTGTGTTGCCAAGTACTGTTAAAGATCTGAACTATGATATTCTTCTCCATTGTTACTTCGAATGACCTAAACCTGTGCATTATACTGAGTACGAACCATTTCGTAAAATCTCTGCAAGAGTAAATTAACCTCCCCTTTAGATTTCATTAGACATACCCAAGTCATTCTTGTACAGTCATCAATAAAAGTAACAAACCGACGGGATCCACCTAAAGTAGTAACCTGTGATGGCCCCCAAACATTTGAATGTATAAGCATAAAAGGACTTGGACTTTTGTTGATTGTTATTGGAAATGGGACTCCGTGGCTTGTTGATAGTTCACAAACATCACAGCAGAAGTTACTGATATCATTTTTTTCAAACAAGAATCTAAGTGTAAAGAGTTTTTTAGGGTTAACAAACCTTCCCCAATGACCTGGTTGGATTCACCATTAGCAGTAGAAACAAAGTTTTATGAGGATGACTTAAGGTTAGAAACATGCCTAGAATCAAATGTCATATGATCGGTAGCACCAGAATTAATTATCCATGCACTATTAGAAACAAATGTACACATATTTAAAGACTTACCATCATTTCCAGCAGTAGCTACAAATGATGAAGATTGTTGGACATCTGCTTTCTTTTCCACAACAACATCAGTAGAACTTTTTATTTTGTCGTCATTGAGCATGTCGGGTTTAGTCGCCTCTAAGTAACTTGCTTCCAAATTTGGAACCGATCGAGTTTCGTAGAATTTCTCCACACATCCTCCCCCTGTTTTTTGTTTGACTTTGTTGACCTTGACCCTTTTTTTTTTTTGGAACTATTTGACCCTCTTTTTTTTACCTTCTACTTTGACTTTTGACCTCTTTTTTTTTTTTTTTTTGACACTTTTGTTTTACCTTTCTTTTTTTTTTTGTTAAAAAAACGAAAGGAAAGAGAGAGTTCGTAAAAAAATAAAAAACAAACTCACGGTAAAAAATAAATTGGTGGCTCCTCTCAGCAGCAGCCGTCAAATCAACGGCATTAGTTTCGGTGGCAACAGATCAACGGCGGAAACTGTGCAAATCGATGATCGGGATCAACTAGCGGAAACTGGATCGTTTATCGGACAATTGGCTAAAGGTGGCTGGAATTTGGCATCGGCTTGATGCTGACTTTGTTTGGAGTTCTGGTTTTTTTTCTTTGTATTTTGGTTGTTGGTAGTGGCCAAAGTTGATGGGGTTTTGATTTTTTTTTTTTTTTTTTTCTGGGCAGTTAGGTGTTTGGTGGTTGAAAATATGGCTGTTGGTTCTTGATTTGGTAGAAGTTGCGACAGGTAGTTGAAAATATGGGTGTTTAGGAACTTGGTGACTTAGGTAAATTCGCAGAATGTTTGGAGGTGGCTGGAAATATTTTTTGGTATTCTTTTGTTGTTTTGTGATGGTGGTTTGTGGTGACAGATAAGGATTGGTGGAGTTGAGTGGATTGGGTTTGAGTTTTGATTTGCTTGTGTTGATTGGGTGATGTGAGTTGTTTAGTGGTGGGATTTGATGGGATTTTGGTGTTTTGGATTATAATTGGATAATCTGGTGGTATAGCAGTGATGGTTTGGTTGTGTGTGTTGGTGTTTGGAGTGATTGTTGTGACCAAAGTCTAGAGGATTGGTTGTTGGTGATTTGGGGGATTTGATGGTTGGACTTTTTCTGGAGTTGTTTGGTGTTGGCTTCTTGGCAAAAACTAGGCAAATCGGTCAGTTTTTTCCAGAATGGAGTAGGTTGGTTGGAAAATGGTTGTTTAGATGAGATATCAGTGATGGTTTGGTTTGATTGGCTGAGGTTGTTTTCTCTTTCTTGGATTGACGACAACTGGATGAATGGTTATTTGCCAATGAATTTTCTGACAGTTGCTCTACAAGCAATTTTTTAGATCAGAACCTGGCTCTGATATCATGTGTGATTGAAAAATTGCATATTTTCAATTCATTGATTTATTACTAAAAAGTTACACTCTTTATATAAGGAGTATATAATCTCTTAAATCCCCTAATTATGTAAATTGTAAATTTCATAATATTTTATCTGACATAATTAGGAGATTATATAATATTTAAAATATTCTAAGATGTATATTTACCTAATTATATAAGATTTGATAATATTTACCTAATTATATAAGATTTGAAAATCTTAACACATCTACCATATTGCAGAAGGCTGAAAAGTATCTCAGCTATTATTTGCGAGTTGAAATTTCTTGTTTGGCTTCGTGTTTCATATTGCAGAGTTCCTATAACTCAATTACCATTCTCTCCCCGAAATTGGAAAGAAATTACGCGCTTAAAGTTTATGTTTCTGCAATATAACAGACTTTCCCGAAGATCTGTGCTGTTTATCCTCTCTGAAATGTTTAGATCTCCGTGGAAACAATTTTGAGCATCTTCCCTCAAGTATAAAGCAGCTATCTCAGCTGAAATGTCTTTACCTACAGAACTGCGATATGCTTCAATCAATACCAGAGCTTCCGCTGGCACCAGTATATTTAGATGCTAGATCTTGCTGTCGACTCCAATCATTACCAAAGCCTCCATCAAATATAGAGATATTGGATGAAACGGAACTAGAAATAATATCTGAATATTGTCTGCAACATGAGGTTAATAAGTTTATTAAGATTGAGTTTTATGAACTGCCTAAGCTGAATCAGAATGCGGACAACATTTTAGGAGATTTACATCAAAAAACCAAACAAATGGCGATTGTAGCACTAAGACTCTGCTACGAAAAGGTTAAATCTCTCTTTCTTTGTCCCTCTCACCCGCACAATCTCTCTCTCTCATCAGATATCATGAATTTCATATTTCAGGTATTTGATAGAATACCTGGAGTGCTGTTATGTTTACCTGGGAGCGAAATTCCTGAGAGGTTTAGGCATCAAAGCTCAGGTTCAATTATAATTATTTAGCCACCTCAGCATTGGGATTGTTACAATAGAAGGTTCATGGGATTCGCTTTTGCTGTTATTTTTGCATTTGGAGAGAATGATGACGAAATCTCAAACGAGCTTGATATCTCATATGGTTACCGTTTTAAAGACAATTACGGTAACAAAGTTCGCTCTAGCTGGCAGTGCGGTCTCAGCATAAATCACAAGAACTTGAATAATCCAGATCATATCTTACTGGCCTATCGTCCTTGTATGAATACTAGGCTAGTTGAGGATGGACATACAAATATGAGTAATATTACACTTACGAATAAATTTTATAAAGATCTTCATACAAAGTGATGTGACAAAAAATGAATGAAATAGTGAGTTTAATGAGTTTGACTTTTTGTTTCATTCTTCCATTCATTTCTTTATAAGATTCCTTTATAAATATAGTATTATTGTACAAATATCATATTTAACTTCAGCGCAACGAAAGATGTACTCGGACAAAGACAAGTATGCAGAGTCAATAGTTGTCGGGTTCATCCACTATTTCTAGAACCCAATATGACCCAGCCCAGAGTTGAAGTGGAGGACCAAATGATGAAACCCATGCCACTTAATTGGTTCTATTTTTTTCTTTTTTAATTTATTATAATTTCATTACTAAATACTTCAATTTAAACAAGATAATGTTTATATTGAAGTTCTGAACTCTGAAGGGATTTGAGGATAAACAAGCTGAATTGAGAAAATAACTATCTCTCTTTCTAAAATAATTGTCAATATTATAGTATTCTCCTTTATTATCAACTTGAAACAGGAATTAAAAAAATTTATTATGCGGAGTCTCGGTATTTGCTATTGCTTTAAACTTCTTAGATTTTAAAATTTTCCTCGCAGGTTTGCATTGCTAAATTGAATCCAAGTTATGTGGCGGACTTGGACAAATATGTTCTTTGGCAAGATATATATTACTGTTTCTGATTTTCTTTAATCTTTTGTTGTAGCTAATTATTAAAACAATTTAAAAAATTTGTAAATTCTACCATAGAATGTAAACCTGAAAGAGATTGAAATTTACGAATCCATAATTAAAGCTTATGGATCTTATGCTCATCACACAAAGGAAGAAGTCTCAAGAGATGAGTTGTAATAAGCAACCAGCACAGTACATTCCTAATTCTCTCAAGTCGTCATGATCTCAGTTTCGGCCTCGTTGTAACAGATGGGAGTTGAGGTCAATAGATGTCCCTCTGATGTATCAATAAATAAGGAAGCAATCTGGTATGAGGACCGGTTATATGTGTTATTTGCTGAATGAAATGGTGAAGGATTTTGCTTTTGCAACAGCATACTAGTAATTGCCATATCATTTCTCATTCCAGTCTGCATATAATATTTCATTTGATGACCGAAACATGGTAGCATCAGGAAATAATTACATATTATTTATCATTTCTTCAGTACATGTGATTTATTGGCCACATAGTCAACTTCTTCGGTGGCTCATAACCCTACCTAGAATCAAATTGGTATGAGCAGTGATCATGCCCACCATCAACCTCATCAACCCTTCTTAATATGAATGATCACTAAGAAATAATTCTTAATGATCTTTTGTTTCTTGCTTTAAGCTTCAAAATTGCTTGATACCACATGACTATCTGATTAATGCAGAAGCACCATCAACCTCTCCGATTAATGTGTTGTTTGCTGAATGTTATGGTAAAGGATTTTTGCTTTTGCGACAGCATACTAGTAGTTTTTATATCATTTCTCATTCCAAATTGCATATAGTGTTCATCTGCATTTAATATCCATCTGATGACCGAAAAATGGCAGCATCATGGAAGAATTACATATTATTTATCATTTCTTTAATAAAGGTGATATATAGAGATGGCAATTGGCTCGACATTTTTGGGTACCCAGCCCAGCCCGAAAGAGGCGGGCTTTACTCGAGGTTGACAGGCTTGGGCTTGGGCCTAGACTTGATTTTAAGGCCCGACCTCAGGTACGGACCGGACATGGGTATATCTTTAGGCCTAGTCTGACCCGTTCCCAAAAATTTTAGTATTAATTTTACTAATTTATCCTTATACTATATATTTAATTCCAATATTATCCTATATATATATATATATATATATATATATCCATTTTTCCCAAACCCTAACCTCAATTTTCATTCCATATTGAAGGTTTAACACGTTAAAATTGCCTTTAAATGAGTTAGATGGGTTTGGCTCAATTTATAAAAATGGATTTCACCATAATATATTATGCACAGCTGAAAAGTTAATATAATAAAATATTTTGGAGTTTTAATTGCATACTTATTACTTAAATTATTTGCGGAAATAGCTTCAATTAATATTTAAAAACTATTTCTAAAATTAAAAATATAAAAAATATTTGAAATTTATTAATATTTGAAAATAAACATTATTAAAAAAGTTGGGCTTGGGCCAGGTCTACAGTTATAAAAAACCTGTTGGGTCGGGCTTGAGCTTTGCCTATCATACCCATAACGGTCTCGGGTCGGGCTTGGGTTTGTGTCATAAGGTCAGGCTTAGGCCTGGGCCAAGGGATACCCGGCCTCGGCCCAGCCCATTGCCATCACTAGACTGATATATTGGTCATGCCATCAATATCTTTGGTGGGTCATAGCCGACTTAGATTCAGATTGTTATGAGCAGTGATCATGTCCATCAACCTCATTGACCATTCTTAAGTAAAATGATCACTAAGAAGTAATACTTACGATTTATTTTTTCTGGATTTAAGCTTCAAAATGGCTTGAATCTACATGACTATCTCAATAATGCAGAAGCTTTGTGTTCCTGTTCGACACTGAGAGAGTAACAGTGACGTTTCAAGCGTTTCTTTAACATCTGCTACCAGTAATCTCCACAGGAGCAAATTCCATCTTGAAAATGATGATACCGGACAGGGTCTCTGATCACTACAGTTCGATGCTCCATCTTTGCTGTGAGTTTTGCAAAGATATGACAGTCGCCGCATATCCTAATATTTTTCCTGATCCTGATGGTCTTACCCCTTGACAAGCTCATCAAACCGAAAATAATTGCCAGTTTTTCACTGTGGTATCGAATTGAGTCTTCTTTTTGCTCTCCTTCAAGATCGTGCAAAACAAAATTTGTGTCTGGCACATAACCCACTGTTACTAATTTGTGAATTAACTGGTTGAGCTCCCTATTGATTTCATCTATCTTTGGATGTGAGCTATCTCCAAAAATGAAAGCATGAATCTGCTTATTTACTTCAATCCAGCTGCACCCTGGTTTTTTCCTCACTCCCCTGTCTCTCATGGTCTTCCTAACTTCTGCTACGTCGTCCCATCTTTGCGAATTTGCATAAATGTTAGATAACAGTATGTATGTTCCTGCATCTTGGGGATCTAGATTTAGAATCTGTTTGGCAGCATATATAGCAAGATCGGTGTTCTGGTGAACCCTGCATGCACCCAGCAAAGTTCTCCATGTCACAGCATCTGGTTCATATTCCATCTCATGTATTAACTTAGCTGCTTGATCGAGCCTTCCAGCCCTTCCAAGAAGATCAATTACACAGCCATAATGCTCCTTTTCTGGTTCAATCCCATAAAGCTTCTTCATAGATTGGAAGTAATACAACCCATCTTCTACAAGCCCTGCATGGCTACAAGCAAATAGAACACCAAGAATTGTAATATAATTCGGTCCTAAACCTGAGGCTTTCATCAACTCAAACAAATTCAGCGCCTTTCGGCTGTACCCGTTCTGTGCCAACCCTGCAATCATGGTGCTCCAAGAAATCACATCCCTCTCTACCATCCTATCAAAAACAGACTTTGCATCTTCCAAGCTACCACACTTGCAATACATATCCAAAAGCGCATTGTTAAGTATCAAATCTCGGTCATACTTCAATACATGAACATGGACTTGTGTCCCCAATTCTAACAGCGCTAATCCAGTACACGCCCTCAAAACACTTGTTAGCGTGGCCTGATCCGCCATAAAACCAGCCCTCTTCATTCTCTTGAAAAGATTCAAAGCCTCATCGCCATCACTATTCTGAGCAAACCCTCCAATGTTTGAGTTCCAAACAACCAAATCTACAGTCACCATCTCACTGAAAACACAGTGCATTCTTCAACTCACCCCATTTGGCATAAACATCAATCAAAGCACTCCTAAAAAACACATCAGAATCCAAACTAACTTTAATTATTCCACAATGAAGCTGCCTAAGATTGAGTAATCAAACACAAGATCTCAAAGTGGAAGAGTAGGTGTACATATTCGGTCTAACACCTTCTCTGAGCATCAAAATAAAGAACTCAAACACCTTGTCATTCATCTTAGCATTACAATAAGCCCATAGCATTGTTGTCCAAGAAACAACGGTTCTCTTAGGCATTTTATCGACAATGTTTTAGCGTCCTCCAAGAGATTAAACTTCACGTACATATTAATCAAAATGTTGATTAAAAACGTTTTGGGTTCATACCCTTTTGAGAAGACGTGATTGTGAACGAGTTTGCCTTCTCGAACAGCGCCACGGGCCAAGCAACACTTGATGAGCTCAGAGTATGTGATGGAATCAGCATGAAGGCCGTGGATTTGCATGGCATCCATAGCTTTGATGGCTCTTGGGAGGTTTCTTTGGTAGCAGAATCTGGTGAAATCATCAATCAAAGCTGATGGTTTGATCTCTTTACTAGAAGAATCATTTGGTGTGGAAGTATAATATCTAGAAAGTGAAGTTCTTATGCATTTCAGCTTTGAAATGGCTTTCATGGCATTTCCCAGTTAAAGAACCTATATTTTCTTTTCCTTTTGCCGATTATAATTGAAACTTGGAACAACTGAACTGTCCATCTATGTTCAACGGAAAACTCAAAGTGGGTATGTATATATATCATTCTTAAATTCTTTGCCTAATGAGAAGGGGTTTTTTTTAAAGCCCCCATGTGTTTGGTTATTTTTGTGAGTGTCCGTTGGTTTTGGAAATGAAACCATAACCCCTGTATGTTTGGTCTTTCAGTCACTCTTACTTTAGTGAGCAGCCGCTGGTTTAAGATATACACCTTTAACCCCGTGTGTTTGACTTTTTTTTGGGGTGACCACCTTTTGGTTTCGAAAATGTCATCAATTCAACCTATAACTTTTGTAGGGGTTTAAAGTGAACAGTAAGGACACTCGCAGGTCTACCCTACCCGTATAGGGTAAGGTAGAGGTCTAATATTTTGAACCCGTTTTGGATTCATACCCGCTTAGACCTGTAACCAATGCTTAAACTTTTGTTTCTACATAACCAACTTTGTTCTCTGATATTTGAAACTAATTAAATTTTGCTAGCTCTGTTTATAATTGGATTGTTGTCCACATATTTTAGGAGCTACATTCGACAAGCTGGATGCTCTGTTTATAATTAGATATTTTGATGGTTTTCAATTGTCATACTTCCCAGGAACAGCAAGAAATATTTTTCTTGTATCAATGAGGAGAAGCTTTTGGCTCTTCCTCGATTACGACTTAGAAGGGTAATCTTGCTTTCGCTGAGAAATGGCACAAGCTTCAGTGGGAGAGTGATTCAATTTCAGTTTTGATGCGTTGCCGTTATGGGTTAGATTGCCATTCTAAATTCAAAAACGTGTAGATCTACATTTACAAAGAGTATGATATGCTGATTCCTGAGCAAACTTGGAACTAATTCATCCAAACATTTATTATTGATGGGCCAATCCTCCAAAAGAAATTCAAAGTCTCCTGCTAAAGAGGTTTACCTGTGATAAGTTTTTCTGAAAGTGTGTTTTTGTTTTTGCATGATTTTGCCTTCGGCTTCTTGTTGCTGTAATGTTTCATCTTTTTGTTTGTAACTGGATTATTGTTTTTAAGGTTAATGTATAAACACTAATACTATGTCACTTGAGCTTGCTAGATGTATGATTTGCATTTCAACTATTATTGTTTGAAACTGTACTAGTAAAATGAGCTGCTCTGTTTTTCTCTATTTATTTTGTCTCCTGTTTCATGCAAAATTTTGTTGATATTTTGCATTTTTACACGTTGATTATTTTGAGTAGTAATTAGTTGAATCTGTGTTTATCGAACCAATATGAAGAAGCCTGAAATAGAATTCCAATTTTATAGATCAAGAGTTATGGTTGTTGAAGGTTTATTTGGTTATGATGGTTGTTTTCATGCATTTTCCACAACTCAAGTGATGACACTCATAAGTTTAGTAGATAACAAGCACCCAATAAAACCCTAAAGAGTTGGCTTAGCGGTCAAAGAGATTAATTGGTAATTTTACAACTTCAACTAATCTTCTCTCTTGGGCCTCTTTAGTTTTACTTGGGCTTGTACGTTTTAGGCTTTAGTGTTAGACTTGTGGATTCGTGACCCATTAACTCATTGAGCCTTTTTATCTTCGTGAAACAATTTTCGAAGGAGTGGAGCTACTATTGGCATCCCACTAGCCTCGTTTCTCAAGATACCCCATTTCCAAATTGTAAAATTAAAATGTTTTCTTATTGCATCCCATAAATCTCTGTTTTAAAAACCAGACCAGACTAGCCAGTCGAACCAGGATCCGACAGCTTCTTCGGTCCGATTCAGGTCTTAGAGGAGTTTTTGTTATATTTCAAAATTATAAGGGTTAATTTGTAATTTTATAGGGGTGTTTTGGAGATATGTCAAAAAGTTTAGGGATTAATTGGTAATTTTGGGGGGGGGGCATTTTTTAAACAAGTAAAAATTTTAGGGACTAATTTAAACTTTTTAGGGGAATTTTTGTAATATATTAAAATTTAAGGGATTAATAGTATTTTTTAAAAAATAAAATTGTCGTTGACGTCATCAGTCCAACTGGCCAGTCGAACCAATTAGACAGGTTGACCCGTGACCCGAGCAGCAAAACGGGTTGCCCTCCGATCCAGGTTTTAAAACAATGCCATAAATTCCATATATGTCTTTTATTCTACTTTTTATATGTATATTTTAAAAGAATTAATATTTCATTTCCTTCCCTTATGCTATATATCTCCACCATCCTTACTCTGAAGATCAAATTTTAGGTAATTAAATTGAAAGTTCAAAAAAAAAAAAATAAAGGCTATAAATATTATTTTGATACTGTTAGGGCCTAAAATCGTCCTTGGCCCAAATAGGAAAACGGGCCTGACAATATGGAAGAGACCAGGCCCAATCTCGATGCGATCCAATTCGGATTAAACCCATTGATACGAGATACAGCCAGCCCAAACCATCTGGGCGCGAGCCTCCCAATCCCAGCTCACTTCTTGGACCTATATGCGAGTTCAGAGCCCATGGCCCCTGCAGATCACTTTCCTATTCCTGATCAATCTCCTATTCAAGGTCACCTTCCTGTTCAGATCACTTTCCTACTCGAGGTTACTTTCCTGTTCGGGATCATCTTCCTATTCGAACACTGGTAAGACAGCTCACCATCGCCTTATTTCTTCTAGGGTTCGTATCAGAGTCACACTAGGACTCCTACTCCCACAAGGACTGGGAGACCAGACAATCACTATATAAGCAGAGGTCAACCCTCTCACAAGGGAGATGACACTACACCTTCACACCCGAAGCTTCTACTTGAGAGCTTCACATCACTGCCGTAGTCACAGTCTTCGATTAGACTTCTGGTAACCTCTCTACTTCCTAGCCCTCACTATACTAGTCTCTTTCAGCCTTGCTGACTTGAGCGTCGGAGTGCCTACGGCAAACACCACCCTAGTGTTTCCCATTCGCTTCACGCGTTTATTTCTCTACGTGTGCAGGTGCAACGGATCGCTAGTGGCCTCAACCTCACGGGATCAGACCCTCCTTCCGTACATGTAGATTTTTACGTCTACAGATACTTGACAAAATATTTATTGTCCACCCTTTGAAAATGTATCCATAAGATTTTATTATCAGTAAATCACATTTTTGTTTATCATAATAACTCAACATATTGCCTAACCATTATTAACTACCTAACTAATGTGCCACATGCTTCACAAAATATTTATTATGATTTTCTTTAATATTGTACAGATAATCTACTAACGTTTCATATTACCTTTTTCAAATAATTATTAACCCTTTTTCGATCGACACGTTTATTTATTACCAGATGTCTGTTCATATTCCATCTTTTTGTATCCTATTCTCCTATAAATAATACTCTGACATCAATCACCCATTTAACTTTCTTCAGATACTATACACTATAATTGTTCATTTCTTCTCCAAAACTTAATTCGAAGATGCCTGACAAAACATCACAACCAGAAGAATCTGCAGCGAATACCTGCAACGACCTCAACAACAATAATTCTCCACCGAGGAAACCAGAAGGTATAAACATTCTACATCTTTTGTATCCTAAAATACAAAATCCCAAACAAAACCATGATACATATTTGCAGGAATATAAAAACCACTAAATTTTTTTTTTTTTTTTGATATGTCGAGAGTACATATGATAATTATACTTACACATTCATGTTACTGTTTCTATATATTTATAAAAATTGATTGTATATTGTTTCTGCAATTGGTTTATACATTTTTTAGGGAATGCCGGAATTGAAAAAGATTTTCAAAAAAGTTGAGACCAATCTGGATGATCTACATACTGTAAGAGCACAGAAGTCATTGACCAGTTGTTACAAATCATGGAATCTACCATGGATGTTATTTATAACCTAAACAAAAGAGAGTATGCATATGCACTAGAGGAACTGAACAACTATAAGAAAAATATGAAATAAAGTCTATATTGTCCAAACTCACTTCACTGTATAAAAAAATGATGTACTTATGTCTTTTATAATAAAAGTATTATTCTCTATATTCAATTTTATCTTGATTTTGGTGTTACTCATTAATTGATTGAAAATTGTTCTCCATCGTAACACGTTTACTTTTGATTTGATTCTTTCATCTTTACATATTGGATGAGTACTAACAATAATTATATAAGTACATTGCATAAACATTCCAAAAATCTAGCCATTTTCAAGAAAAATATATAAAAATAAAAAAGCATCAATAGCAAACCTGAAGATGAACTCAATATAAATTTTAAGTTCAAATAATTGATCTTCATAATATTAATTGACATTAATAATTATAAAGGTACCATTATTAATTTTATGTTAACACAATTCTATACGTATATAAAAGTTATATTTACTCTAAAACTTGTACATATATAAAAATTATTTTTACAGCCTATTCTAAAAATATTAAATAAACGTACCTGTGCAACGTGCATACCCGATACCTAGTTAATGGATAAAATTATGAGAATGTGTTTGATATATTTTTTGAAAATATTTATATTATTTTTTAACTTAATTTAGCTAAATATCTTCCAAAATAAAAGTTTATCAAAAAAAAAAAAAAAAAAAACCCATCTTCTAAACCAACTGTTGGCAGTCTACCATCATCTTGGCCAAGATATGGTTTGAAAGATTTGTTTGATAGCGTCGGTGGATGTGTGGAAACTGGAAAACAACGTGAGAAGCATTAATGGGTTTACTCCAAAAAGGCAAAACTTACACCCCCTTCATTCATTTTTTTAAATCTAATCTTCCCATACTCCCAGAGCAAAGAAACAATACTGATGACGGCGGTTGTTCCCGTAGTCCGCTCTTTCTCTCCAACAACACGATAGGCAAAACCCTAACAGGAATTGAGTTAACAAGACACTGTATACTTCCAACTCAGTATCCGAGTGTTTCAACTGAAGATAAATGGTTGCCTATGGATTAGAATATATATTTCACAACAAAGGAGATTCAGATAAAGAGTATCTGATTAATTTAACATTGTTTATTGTAAATATAATTATTTATGACAAATTGCTCATGACATCATCAATGAAGCACCCCACTGAAGTGAACGAAGATCCACCTTCCATAATGGTTTTTCTACTCTTTTCGCTCATCTCCTTCACTCTTGTTCTTCTCTCGTTCTCATCCTCCATTAATTTCTTTATCCCTTTCTCTATCTCCCTTGACTTCACAATCATCTGATTCTCTCCCGAAAATTCCTTCCTATAATCCATTTTAATCTCCACCGCTAATCCTAACTCAATCACCATCTCAAATGCATTGAATTGTTGCTCCGCATACATCGGCCATGTCGCCATTGGAACTTCAAACCATATGCTCTCTAGGGTCGAATTCCACCCGCAATGCGATACGAACCCTCCGATTGCCTTGTGGGCTAATATCGACACTTGTGGAGCCCACCCGATCACTTTTCCAACCCCAACTGTTCGATCGAGAAACCCTTCTGGTAACACGTCTGTTAGATTTGCGTAATCACTCGGAGCGACAAACTGACCCTTTGGTTGAGGTTGACGTAGAGACCATAAGAACCGATACCCACTTTGTTCGAGCGCACAGGCAATCTCTTTCACCTGTTCCTCATCGAAGCTTCCCATACTCCCGAAGCACAGGAACACAACTGACGATGGCGGCTGATCATCAAGCCACTCCGTGATCTCTGCTTTTGTTTTGGACCCACCTGTCCCTAAATCAATGCTATCACCCTTCAGATTCAAAATGGGTCCTACAGGATAAACGGGTGGGATTTTGGTTTCACCATTTGAGAAAGACTTGATCGCATAGGATTCCAGCTCCATGAAGGAATTTTCAATAATACCCTTAACTCTCCGAAACCTCCTCGCTTGCTCAAACACAATCATGGACCAATCTTTCTCCAAGTATACCGAAGGCAAAACTCTAGCAGGAACTGGGTTAATAAGACTTGGTACTTCCAACTCAGAATCCGAGTCTTTCAACTCCATAGTGTGTTTGTTCTGCTCATCATAAAGAGCCTGCGCGTGAAACATCAAACCCAGAAAACCTGCACTGGACGTGAAGAAAATATAGCTAGGAACTCCAAACTCATCAGCAACATCGATCATGCTTGTACAAAACATGTCGAGAACAAACCCGGCGAGTCGAGGTGCGTCATTGGAGGCTGACTCGGAGTGAACAAGCTTGGAGACGGCTTCTTTGACGAGGGGTTTATGAAATTCAATGAACGAAGAGAAGAACCTTTTGGGGTCGAATCCTTGAAGTTGGTCGCTTGGGAGATGAACGAAGTTGATGCGGTCACCAGCAGAGAGTGAGTTTAGATGGGTGTTAATTTTGGAGTCGGATGGTAATTTCATGATGAGTACCGTGATAGAGATGCGTTGGTGGCGGTGGACAAGGAGCTTGGCCAGCTCCACAGTGGAGCCGAGGTGGCCGACGCCTGGTGTAGGGATGAAGACGAGCTCGGCTTTGTTGTTCATTGAACCTTTTGATTGTGTGGATTATATTTGTTTTTGATTTTTGTGAGTAAAATTGAATGAAAGTGAATGGAATTTATATAAAAAAATTATTTGAGAAAGCAAGACGATAACTCAGAGATGATGTCAGTGCTTTGCTAACAGCGAATAGAGGTTGAGAATTATTTATAATTAAATGCTTGTCGTATGCAAGTAAAAAGATCGATAAGTCTGAGTGATTTATGTTCACATATTTTATCAAAATGATGTTTTCAAAGGCACTGGGACCAATCAAAATCACTATCAACTCAGCTACGTGCAGATGGACATAAGCACAGTTAACAGACTTCCCTTGCTTACCAAGTTTTTCAGGCTTATTATGCCTGAGACCCTCATCTCTCCTGAGGTGTAGGCGTGTAGGGACAAAGACGAGCTCATTGTGTGGACGTTTGTTTGTGGATGATTTGATGATTCGTTTTGTTGGTTGGCAGTAAAATTATACGAAGGTTTTTTATAAAAGATTGGAAATGTTGTTATTTATTACACAACTACTAAATTGAGTTCGAAAAGAAAAAGAAGAATATTGGGATTGTTGTTACCTTTTTTTTTATTTTTTAAATGTTATTCTCATTCTCAGACGTGATTTGAGTTCAGTTATGTTGAATAAAATCGAATTTGATATATATATATATATATTTTAAAAAATTTAAGACAAAATGGTTTGATACTATATTTTTGAAAATATTTATTACTTGATTATTAATTTTTTTTCTTCAGTTTAAATAATATTAAATAATTATTTGGTAAACTTTTTATCACTCAATTTATAAAAAAAAATTATCCATAATAATTTTAATTACTGTGATAATAATTAAAAAACTAGAAATGAGTAACTTCGTAATGCATTAATACTCTCTTCGCAATAGCCATGCCAATTCTTCCCAACCCAATAATTTCAACTGTTTTTTGCAAGAAGAAAAGAGAAAAATTGCAAAGAAAGCACAAAACACATAGCTGAGTCATTTAATCAAGAAAAATCCATTGTAAAAGTCACTAATCATGTGATAATGGAAGACGAAATTACCAACAAAATATATGATATTGCACCAATACTAGTCACCACTAAGGGATCTGCATGTAATCCGTTGAGTACTGATAACAACTGAAACAGGTTCTATTTACTCAAAAGGTTATATGTTCTAGCGCTGAGGGGATCTCTCATGGGGGAAGGAAATAATGAAACACAAGCAGAGGTGATCTACTGAGAGGAAAAGGTTATATGCAACATTCAGCATGGTATCATGATAGAGCAAAACCATAATTTTAAAAAGGTAAATTAAAGGCAATGCACTGCAACAGCATTTTGTCAGCACACAAATAATAAAGATTGGAGTTCATGCATCATCAAGTTTCAAATTGGATAATATAAGTTGAAGAAATAAACAAAGCCTTAAATTCCCTAAAATCCCTTAAACAGAGCTTAATAACAAATAATCTAATACCCATTCCATCCCAATATATCTATTAACTTTTTCTCAGTATAAACATAATGCTCAAGTTATTTCTGCAGTTTCCCAAATCATTATATGATCAATTGCCACTGTTACACTCAGATTTTACCCTTATAGCGTTTACGGCGTATACAATTATGTGGATTTCAGCCCTCTGCCAATGAGTACAACAGAGAATGAAGTGCAGAACATGAGAATTGAACAACTCTAACTCAAATCGACAAAAGTACTCCATGAAAACAAACTCCTCACCAACAACACAATACAAAAGCACATATTAACAATTAGTGCTTAAAAGCATATTCAACACCACGAATCACTATACTACCACCATCACCAACATCACAGAACAACCCTTTACAGGATTATACATTTATCACATAAGGCCATTATTCATAAGGTTATAATGGTTATAGATGATGATGTGCTATACAGTAAACATGGTCTTTCTGAGTTCCGCAATCCATGTAACTGATTATCACAAAAAGGGAAAATGAAATTACAAGTTTTTGAATGAATCAATTCTTGTGAACATCCAAATTGCTAATCACATCATCCATGAAGCAACCCAATGAAGCGAATGAAGATCCACCTTCCATCATGGCTTTTCTACTCTTTTCGTTCATCTCCTTCAGTTTATTCCTTGTCTTATTATCATTCTCCATCAATTTCCTGATCCCTCTCTCTATCTCCCCAGCGCTCACAATCATTTGATTCTCTCCTGAGTAATCCTTCCTGTAATCCATTTTTATTTCAACCGCTAATCCCAACTCAATCACCATTTCAAAGGCATTCAATTGTTGCTCGGCGCCTATCGGCCATGTGGCAATTGGAACGTCGAACCATACGCTCTCTAGCGTTGAATTCCACCCGCAGTGTGATACGAACCCTCCGATCGCTTTGTGGGCTAAGATTGACACTTGTGGGGCCCATCCGATTACTTTTCCAATCTTGACCGTTCGATCGAGAAATCCTTTCGGTAGCACGTCCGTTGGATTAGTGTAGTCACTCGGTGTGGCGAACTGACCCTTTGGTGGAGGTTGACGTAGAGACCATAAGAACCGATGCCCACTCTGCTCGAGCGCACAAGCAATCTCTTTCACCTGATCCTCATTGAAGCTTCCCATGCTCCCAAAGCATAGGAACACAACCGATGATGGTGGTTGATCATCAAGCCACTCCATGATCTCTAATTTTGTCGTGTACCCACCTGACCCGTGATCAATGCCATCACCCTGAAGATTCAAAATGGGCCCCACAGGATAAACGGGCGGGATGTTGGTATCACCATTATAAATGGACTTGATTGCATAACATTCCAGCTCTGCAAACGAATTTACAACAACACCCTTAACCCTTCGGAACCTCCTCGATTGCTCTAACAAAATCATAGACCAATCTTTCTCCCAGTACAGAGAAGGCATAATCTTAGCAGGAATTGGGTTAACCAGGGTCGGAATTTTCAACTCAGTGTCCGAGTCTTTCAACTCAGTGTCCGAGTCTTTCAACTCAGCGGTGTGTTTGTTGAGCTCATCATAAAGAGACTGCGCGTGAAACGTCAAACCGAGAGACGCTGCACTCGACGTGAAGAAGATATAACTAGGAAGTCCAAGCTCATCAGCAACATCGATCATGTATGTACAAAACATATCGAGAACGAACCCGGCGAGTCTGGGTGAGTCATCGGAGGCTGACTGGGAGTGAAGAAGCTTAGAGGCAGTTTGTTTGACGTGGGGTTTATGAGATTCAATAAATGAAGGGAAGAATTTTCTGGGGTTGGATCCTGGAAGTGAAACGTGATCGTTGGGAAGATGAACGAAGTTGATACGGCTGGGTGCAGACAGTGAGTCGAGGTAGGCATTGACTTTGGTGTCAGAAGGTAGTGTCATTATGAGGACGGTGATGGAGAGGTCTTGGTGGCGGTGGACGAGGAGCTTGGCTAGCTCCACGGTGGAGACCAGGTGGCCGACGCCTGGTGTAGGAATAAAGACGAGCTCAACTTTCTTGTTCATTGTGTGGATGATTGATGATTTTTTTTGTTGGTTGTGAGTATAATTATATGAAGCTTAATGGATTTATAAATAAAAATTTGTAAATGATGATTTTTTGCCATACGTGAAAATGACAGCTAGTAAGAGATGATATCAGTGCTTTGCTAGCAGTGCAAAGAGCAGAGAAGGACTGTTGACTCCCAGAGACGCCGGTGGGATTCATGCATTTTATAAATTGAAAAGGCATAGAAATAATGGACAAGTTGATGGATGCCAGTAGAATACAAACAATTAAAATATTAAAATATTAATATATGAAAATGATGGAAAATGATCTATGCTTTTGCTATTCAACACTTAATTTTATTTCTTGGAGTCATAAGTCTTCAAGCGGACTTGGATAACCTAAAAATATGATACACACAAATCAAGGAAAAGAGAGCCAAGGGAGTGAGAGAAAAAGAGTGATTTTTGTTTTAATTCTTTCAAATATATGAAAATGGTATAACACTCGGCTTATATGTCATGGACACAAAGTATAATTTTAAATTATATTGAAAAGTCCTCAAATAATTTAAAATTAATCTTTAAAAAAAGCATTTATGTCAAGTCCTTGGTTTTATGTTTAATTCATAATTAGCTCAAATTTTAATCCCATTAAATATTCTAACTCTTTAGAATAAAACCAATACATTTTTTTCCTCATTATTGAATCCGATTTAATAATAATGTTTAATAAATCCTTATTACCCTTAGTTAGTGCTAGCTATCCATGGATAATCATTTCTCACCAATACAATAATTCGGATGCAACTATTTACGTCCGAACATTATTAATCTGATTAATGATATGTATTACTCTCTCTCCTTGAGCTTGGTTTTATGTGTGACCATTTTGGTTCACTGTGATCGAGCCGTGGGCCCAATATCAGATTTTGATATGTTTCGTTATAACTCTTTATAATCGAAACTCCAACTAATTATGGTAGACGTCTAACAATGTTTCATAACACCTAAACCACAATGAAGTGTAAACTCCAATGAACCTATTCTGATCGTACGTACCGTGTAGTCAAATCCCTCCGTTATCTAATCATGATTAAGAATGGTTCATGGTATGTCAAAACCTTTAACTTAATCTTTAATCGAATTGTCAATCGATACAATGGAACTTGTCAACATGAAACTACTTTTCATCTGACATTTATTATACTCTAGCCAGAGATTTCCCCTTTCCAATGTTTATTGACATTTGTCTGGGAACTCGAGATTGGACTATTTTGAGTTAACGGATCCCATTTTGACCATCACTTGTCCTCACACATGAATAACATATGACCAAACTGGCTTATTACACAAGACATGACTAGTCTCGTGCTTATACACCACATGAACCATATGCATCCTATGTTGAATCCAACTGTGATGTCTCTGGTCTAAGGATCAGTGGTATACTAGCACGATCCTGTGATGCATCATTGACCACATCCATGTGATTTATTGTAATCGGTCGTATTTGATAAACAATTCACTAACCGTTTATCCATGCTAATGCCTTACTGACATACCTCTTATAATCACCAACACTAATACCATCACATGATATTCAATGAAGACATTCAATATGCCTATTATGCAATGTTATCACCCAATTAACATTGCTTGTGTAGGGAATTTTTTGATGATTTGATGGTTTGAAGATCCGTGTCATCCGGACATTTCACATGCAATATTAAATATAATATAATATAATATAAATGAAGCAAAAAATCAATATGTGAAATAAGAACACTTTCTTTTATTCATAATACATTTACAAGATATAATGTCCTGAAACCGACAATACGTTGGTTCCTAGGGCATACACTAACAAAACTCCTACTTGCACTGGAGCCAATCGCTATAGTATCTAATACCTATTTTCTCAAGACAATAGTCCAATTGCTTCTGTGTCATCGCTTTAGTGAGTGGGTCAGCTACATTCTCTGCTAAAGGTGTTTTCTGTACCAAAATTTCCCCAGCTCTAACGAATTCTCTCAAAATGTGATATTTACGCTTAATATGTTTTGACTTCTGATGTGCTATTGGCTCCTTCGCCTGTGCAATAGCACCAGTATTGTCACAGTACAAGGTTATCGGATAAACCATGTTTGGAACCACACCAAGTTCAATCATGAACTTGAGAATCCAGACAACTTCCCTTGCTGCTTCTGAAGCGACAATGTATTCAGCTTCTATATTGGAATCAATAGTAGTCGACTGTTTTGAACTCTTCCAACTGACTGTACCTCTATTGCATGTGAAAATAAACCCGGATGTAGACTTTCTATCATCCACATTTGATTGAAAATCGGAATCAGAGTATCCATCAATTTTCAACTCTGAACCTCCATAACTTAGTATTAGATCCTTAGTTCTTCTCAATCGTCTTAACAGTTGACTAGTCTTTTTACCCTAGGTCGGACTAATATCTGCTTGTAACACTCACAACATATGCAATATCAAACCTAGTACATAGCATGGCGTACATGAGACTACCTACACCTGAAGCATAAGGTATCCCACGCATCCGCTCATGCTCCTTATCAGTCTTTGGACTCATATCTTTTGAAAGATGAATTTTGTGATTGCAAGGCAAAATTCCCCTTTTGGAGTCTTGCATGCCGAACCTTTTCAACATCTTTTCTATGTACATCTTTTGGGATAAGCCTATTAATCCTTTCGTTCTATTTCTATAGATACGAATTCCTACGATGTAGGTTGCTTTTCCCAAGTTTTTCATGGAGAAAGTTCCGGATAGCCACATATTAACTTCAATCATCATCCCATTGTCATTTCCCATCAATAGTATGTCATCTACATACAGTATGAGAAATATGATTGCATGATCCTTTGTCCATTTATAAACACAAGGTTCATCCAGATTTTTTTATAAAACCAAACATTTTGATTATTTCATCAAACCGGATTTCCAACTTCTTGAAGCTTGTTTTAACCCATAAATGGATTTATGCAGCTTGCACACTTTATTTCTTTCAGAACTAGATACAAAACCTACAGTTTGTTGAATGTAGATATTTTCCTCAATAAATCCATTGAGGAATGTTGTTTTGACATTCATTTGCCATATCTCATAATCATAGTGTGCAGCTATGGCTAGCATAATTCTGATTAATTTAAGCATAGCGACTGGTGAGAAAGTTTCCTCATAATCCAACCCTTGTTTTTTAGTATACCCTTTCACAACCAGTCTTGCTTTGTAGGGCTCTACCTTTCCATCTTTGTTAATCTTTCTCTTGAAGATCCATTTACATCCAATAGCAATTATTCCTTCAGGAGGATCAACGAGAGTCCATACTTGATTAGCATACATGGATTATATCTCAAAATTCATAGCTTCTAGCCATTTTCCAGAATCGATATCTAATATCACTTCTTCATAACTTCTAGGATCATCCCCATGACTGACTTCTCCAATCATGATAGATTCAAAAATCTCTTCATGAAGTAACCCATATCTTTCTGGAGGTCGAGATACTCTAGATGATTTACGAATCGAAATCATTTCAGGTATTAAGGTTTCCTGAGAAGGACCACCTATCTGAGTATTTTCGGTCTAAGGCTCCCCGAACTCTTCTTGGAGCATAATTTTTTTTCCCGCGCCACACTCTTCTAAAAACTCTTTCTCAAGAAAGTGGGCATTCCTACTGATCGAAATTCATTGATCAGTGTGGAAGTAAAAATAATATCCCAAACTATTTTTGGGATACCCTATAAACCGACCTTTCTCAGATCTAACGTCCAACTTATCTGTCTTGACAATCTTGACATAAGCTGGACAACCCAAATTCTCATATATTTGAGACTAGGTGGTTTACCATACCACATCTCATATGGTGTTATCTCAATAGATTTAGATGGTACCCTATTCAGAATATGCACAGTGGATTCAAGGGCAAATCCCTATAGTGACGTTGGCAAGTCCGTAAAACTTACTATCGACCGTACCATATCCAATAAAGTACGGTTCCTCCTTAGACACACTGTTATGTTGCAGCATATAAGGAGGAGTCAACTGGGATATTATATCATTCTCCTTTACAAAATCTCAAAATTTTGTACTTAAGTTTTCACCGCCATGATCTGATCGCAAAGACTTAATACTCTTTCCAGTCTATTTCTCTACTTCATTCTTAAACTCTTTAAATTTCTCAAAAGATTCAGATTTATATTTCATTAAATACAAATACCCGTACCTAGAATAATCATCGGTAAAGATAATGAAGTATTGAAAACCTTCTCGAGCCATTTCATTAAATGGTCCGCATACATCTGAATGTATAACCTCTAGAAATTCTTTGGATCTTTCCCCTTTACCCTTAAAGGGCCATTTGGTCATTTTTCCTTGAAGACAAGATTCACAAGTTGGATAGGGTTCTGAACCCAATAGGCTTAAAAGCCCATTTGCTTCTAACCTGATTATCTTTTTATCTCCTATATGACCTAATCGATGATGCCAAAGTAATTTTGGATTAATTTCATTTCAAGATCTCTTATTTGTAATGGTATTAATTATGTCATAATCATTCATTACCAAAACATACAAACCATTTGTATTAATTGTTTTCCCAACTAATTCATTTCCAAAATAAATTAGACATTCATTTCCATTAAACTGTATTTTGTAACCATATTTACATAAAACAAAAGTAGAAATGAGGTTTCTAATTGCTTTGGCAAAATACAAAGTTCTGTACAAATACAAAACGTGTCCCGATGGCAATGTCAAATTGCAAGTTCGTACTGCCTCAGTCACAACTTTTGCTCCCTTTGCCATCTTCAAAATGACTTCACCTTTTAACAGTGCAGAAGTATTCCGTAGTGCCTGCAATGAAACACAAATGTGAGATGTAGCAGCTGAATCTAATATCCAAGAATGATCATTTGAACTAACATTTAATTCAAATTCTATAACATAAGAATGGAACATACCTGCTTGAGCTTTCTTAAAGCTCTACAGATAAAGAGGACAATTCCTCTTCTAATGTCCATCTTTCTTACAGTGGAAACACTTTCCTTTATCATCGACCTTTTCTTTGCCCTTCTTGGTCTTAGAAGCATCATTCTTAAAAGGCTTTTATGTGGCCCAACTTTTGGAC